TACAACATTAGTGATTCCTATCATGGAAAATACAAGTTAATGGATGCTTGTGTAATCAGTGCTGATTTCTATATGAATAATTAATATTTAATAAAAATATATTGATAAATTTTCATCTACTTTTAGTGCATGGCATTCATTAGAAATATTTTATTAAACAATAATTATCTTCATTGATAAGAACTGGTGGTGGGAAAAGTTTCTGTTACAAAGTTCCTGGTGTAACAGCCTGTTTATATCACTAATCCAAGATCAGATGTATAATTTAAAAATGACTTATAATAGTGATCAATCAGACTTATTACGAGGAATTCATGGAAGATAGCAAAGAACTTGTAATGATGAGAAAAGGTAGTTTACATTTCATTATTGACAAGGTTCGCTGTCTAGATTTATGGGAGATCACTTGTAAAGAAATTAGGAACTCTTTTAAGTTAAAATTTCCAAAAAAATTTCAATTATCGTGTTGACTGCTATGGCAAAAAAAAAAAAAAAAAAATTACAATACAAGAGGTAATCTTTTTCACAATATTGTAATTATCAAAATGATCAAATCATACAAAAAAAAACAAGAACTAAAACAATTAAATATAATTTTACAAATATATATAATTATTCCTAGGCCAATAAAAATAATAAAAATTTTTATTTTACTTATTAACTATATAACTATATCTAAAAATTTATAATTTAAAAAGCCCAGATTTTGATATTTTATTAATATATCTTGTAGTTCTGGGAGATAAAAATCTACGTCACCAGGTACTATTAATGTAAAGGGTTTAGGCCCTTTCCAATTGTTCATCAAAACTTCCAATGAATTATCTGAAATAGTAACTAAATAACCAAAAATTATAGTATTTAAATTTTTTGGCAATGATTGATTTAGAACTGCCATTATTTTATCACCATCAAATATACCTCCAACCTCAAAATCAACCTTTTTGAATTCTATAGATTTCAACTTGATGCAATTATTAAAAATATTAATTATCTTACAATCTAATTCATTGTTATATATTATAGATAAATTTTCTAGACTGTTTTGACAATTTTGAGCAATTGATTCAATCAATACTCCCAAATATTCTTCGTCTGTTGGTAAACCACCAACTGTCAATGTTTTAAAAAATTTTCCATTAGCTTTGACAAAATCTGATAAATCTAATAGATATGGTTGGCAGTAACTTGATAAATATAAAGATTCGATTTTTGGGAAAAAAATAGATTTGAATTTTTTTATATCTTTGTTCACATTTGTTAATGATAAAGATTTTAAATTTTGAAATGATGATATTGTTACAGAATCTAATGTATTTTCTCCGACATTGGAATAGCTAATTATCGATTGTGAATGTGTTGATATTGCTGTCTTTATTTCATCAGGCAAAGCTTGGTAATCAGGCGAGCAAATATTTAAATGTTTAAGTTGATTTTGTGCTTTAATTAAATAAGCTAGACTATAATCGTTTAAATCAAAATTACGCAAGTATTTTCTATAATAAACTAATTTCAATGATTGAATCCTTTCACAAATATATCCTAATTTAAAAAAAAATTTAGAACTATTATTAATATCACATTCTAATCTATAAAGATTCTTAAAACATGTATCAAATCTATGATGGTTTATCAACCATTTATATTCCAAGTTAGCAGTTGTAAGTGTTCTAATAGTTGTTGAATAATCTAGAATAAAGTTTGTTAATCTTTCTACTAAAGATTTAAATTTAACAAGAATATATGAGGAATCTACCAGCCTATATAAATTTTCATTAAGTTTGATGAATTCTAATTTAGTAACAAATTTTGCATAGTTATATAATGGTTGTTTGTCTAATAATTCAAAATTTAATTTAATGCCATTCTTCACTAAGAAATCTTTATCTTCTACCAATAAACAATTGATGAATATCTTGGTGCTGTTAAAAGAATAAAATGGGTTTCTCCATAATTCTGGTATATTATAATTATGCCATTGTTTATTAACTAGAATGCAAGAGTATAATGTTCTATAATCATCTTTAATGAATTTGAATATGTCGGTTAAAATTTCAGGTGGTAAACTCAAAATTGACATTTAATAATATTAATTGATGTATTACTTGTACAACCAACGTTTTCTTTTTTATTGTACAAATTTATATTAAGAAAAAATCATAACTGATAAAAGAACATTAACGTAAAGCCTTTCAAAAGAAAAGAAAATCGGAAGAAAAATAATTTACTACCTAACTAGCACGATTATTTGTCTATTAAATTATTTGATAAAATTTTTACCCAAGTCATATCATTAATTGTGATAACTGCAGGGGATAATCCAGATTTAAATATTTCCTTTATATCTGTATTTTGCTCTTGAAACCAGCATGATATCATGCCTTCCTCCTCGGTTTCTTTTTCTTTTTCTTTTATTTTTTTTTAAAAAATTATAGCTATCCAATCAAATTAAAAATAGATCTTCATATATATTCTTTTATAGCAATATATAAATAGTAATCAAATAATAAATGTCGAAAGTAACTAGTAATTCATTGGAACAAATTCTACTCGAAAAACTTTCAGCGGAACATGTTCAAGCTACTGACACCTCAGGTTAATTCGAATATAACATTTACAGTTGAAACTGTGCTTAGAATTTCATTAAGCTGTACATAATAATATTGTAATTTTTCTTTATTAAAAAAAAAGATGGGTGTGGTCAAAGTTTTGAAGTGATTGTAGTTTCCCCAATATTCGAGGGTAAGACTCTTTTACAGAGGCATCAACTGGTGAATGAAGCAGCTAAATCAGAAATTGCACATCTTCATGCATTTTCTCAGGTTTGATTAAATTTTTTGATATTGACATTGAAGTTCAACTTTTAAATTTTATTTATTGAAAACAATAAATATATATTATTGTTATTTAACAGAAAACTTATACTCCGGCTCAATGGAAAGGATTACAGAAATGAAGTTCTTTGCAAAATAAATAAGATGATCAAATCTATGAATGTGTAAATGCATTTTTTAAATTTTTTTTTTTTGCATTTTCAAAAGTTCATAAATAAAAAATATGATTTATTTATCATTATCGTAATAATTTTGGAATATTGTCATTAATGTTATTATAGTTGTAGCAGTTGTCATGAAAACTGTTTAATCGGCCAATATACACCTAGAAAAATTAATGACGTTAATATTATATATACTGCAAGTATAATATATAAATTTGTAGAAAGAATTAATGAAATCAGAACCTGGTTCTGGTTTGGGTGCATCTTCTGACAATTTCCATTTATAGTAGCTTGGATTGCCAGGTGTAGGCGGTAATTTATCTTCACTGTATAATTTTGGAGCAGAAGCAATTGTTTCTGTTAATGAAAGATTTTCTAAAACATTTATTACTTGAGTATCTGTTGATTTATCGGATCCTCCGCCGCTTCCTGCAACTCCTCCTTCATCACCAGAAGTAACACTATATATAATATTTATCATTGATTATCATAAAATTCCTGAAAACAACACAGTCATTATGAGAAAGACACAATTATAAGTGTCAAGTATAATTACCTCTGAAAATTTGATGCTGAGATAAGCCCAGCCACATCATTTTGTGTGAAAACTGCTAAACGTGGATAATGTCTTCTATAATCTCTGCTAAAATAGTAATTTTTTGCCAGATCTGAATGTTTGGTTAACGGACTCTTATATGTTGGTGGTTGAGATCTAGTAAGGAATAATTATAAAAAAATCTTTTTAATTAAACAAAATAAGAAAAATTAATAATATATATATGTGTGACAATTTACGCTGGAGCTGGAGATCTATATATTCCACTAATGTGAACACCAGTATTGCTGTTTTCTGGATTCTAGTTAATATAATTAAGAGGGTGTTGAGAATTATTTGCGATATAAACGAATTTATTTGGTTAGTAAAACTAACCACTGTAAGCAATCTACGAATCATTTCAAAAAAACCATTGCTTGAACCTCGCGTATATGACATTTTATTTAAATGTATGTTTTATTTTTGAAAAAAATAAAAATTTTTTCCTCAATTTACAGTTTTATATCCCCACTTATTTATATCCCAACAGGGTGCAAATTTACCGGAAAATTTCCGGTTCTGAGCGGTTCTGAACCGAACCGAACACAGAACCGCGAACCGGTTCCAGAACCGAGTTCTAACCGTTCCCCATGTGATTTATACCTATATGAGGAAATCCTGAGTTAATCTTTCCTTAAAAGGAATGATTAATACGAATA